AATTGTAAAATGCTAATATGTAACAAATTTAAATATACCAATTAATGAGATCTTTATATTTACCAACTAGAGTAATGTGAAAAAGATGAACCTAAATAAAAGGTATAGTGTAATTTCAAGTGATAAATAAACTTGAATAAAAATTCAAACGTAAATTGATCCTGACTGAATTAATGAGAATGAATGAAACTAAATAAAACGTGAAAGTGAAATTACCACTCCTGATAATAATATGCAATCGGCATAGCACAGTTAAATTTGTAAATTTTGTAAATCGGTGAAAAGAAAGAATTAGTTAAATTTTATAAATCTCTTTCATAGGTAATTAAAGAATATAAGCAATCGATATTTACCTTTAATAAAGCAGAACTCAATAGAGACTCATTCATATAAATATTTTGTTTTAATTCCTCCTGATAAGTGAATTTTATAATTCTGTGATCCCAAAATTAGAGTCTCGGCGTAATCTTGAGCTCTATTTGACCCTAATTAATCGGTACAACTCACTCTCATTAGTGAAGTTTCTGGGCTAAGAAAAAATCTTTATATCGAGTAAGTACTGTATATACTTCACTATATCGAGTTAAGTTTAATAATTCTGGAATTCAAAAGTCTTCACTTTATTGAATCTTCATTATAACGAGAGTTCACTATAGCAAGAGTGGGTTGTATAAACTGAAAGGATGTCAATATTTGATCTAAGTTTTGTTGCAAAGAAGTATTCAAACTAAAAAGAGTATAATAAATAAAGGAAAAGAAATGTAAAGTTATCATAGAAATTCTTAGAGATGACAAGATGACAAATAAAAAAGCCTACATCGATCATTAGCTAAATTTTAAGCAAACAAAATAATATATGCCAATATTTAGATTTGTTGTAACGAAATTACAAAACTTAAAAGAGTATAATAAATAAATCAGAAAACAACTCGACAATAAATGAATAAAACCTAAGAGGATAATATCAAACGTTAGTTAAATAAAAAAAATAAAATAAAATAATAAAATTAAAAAAAATTAAAATTTAATAAAAAAAATTATTTTGTAATAAAAAAATATATACATTATAAATTACAATAAAATTAAATTTTATTTAAAATTTATTTAATTTCAAAATTTAATTAATTTAATTTTTTATATTTAATTAAATTGTAATATAATTGGGGTTAAGGAGGCCTCTAATGTAGAGATATAAGCTTCTACCCTTCTAATGTCTCCTGATTCTTCAACACGCCAGTACCTGTCACGTATTCTTTTTGTTAGTTCAACCACAGAAACTCTTCGATTTTCGGCTCCTTTTTGTTGCTCTGTTTGCACATATTTTACAAATGACCCCTGACTTTCATATACTTTCTTCAAACATTTCCTGAAATATTTTCCATACTTTAGCAGTTAGCAACTTATTACTATACATATTCTCATGAAAAATATGTTTGCATGGCAATAAATATTGATTATAAAAAAGGCAGTGACAATCGAGCAAAGTTAAACCTGGCATTCCTTTTCCTTTTTCAAGTCTATTAATTACACTACAAGCCTCTCTAATAAGTAAGTTTTGGAATGGAAGAGGAAACTTATGGATTTCTTTCATAATATCATTATCGACTTTATAGGCAGATGCTTTTTTAATATGAAAGTTAAAAGTGGCACTTTCCACTTCGGATCTTTTTTTACAATCAATATTAACGATACCATGAACAGCACCTAAAATAAAATAAAAGAATTATAGGTAAATAGATAAAAAAAATCAAACACTAATAAAAAAAACACTATATATACCGATTAAACAATGTAACAACAATGTTATTTTCTTCAATTCACTATGAAAAGACTCCAAAGGATTCATAGATATAACCTGTAAAAGTAAGGGAGAGTGTTGACGAGCCCACAAACCCTATTGCTATGTATTATTCATATAGTTCCTTTTAATATAATTTTTTATAGCTGGCACAGAACAACAACTAATAGCATCCTGAACAAAGTTTTCACAGCCAACCTTCGTTCATTTGTGCATTGCCGCGATCATGATGTCATGGATTTCTTTTTCATATATTCGTTGCATCCACGTTCTCATAACATGAACGATACAAAAAATAATTTGGCATCTTGCTTACTGGCAGTTATACCAGGAAAAGTTTTTTTAATACTTTTGGCCTCAATGCTACTCTGATCCAAAAGCATATAATGGGAAGACCAACGACAGCACTTCTTACGAACTATCAACAGTGCTTCAGCAACCGTGTCACTATCTTCACTACTCACAAAAAAGTGAGCCCCTACATTCTAGCAACCATAAATATCACGAATATAAAGCGTAAACAGACGCCAGTCGTACCGATTGGTCTTGTGAGTTGAGTTAATTAATATCAACCACCCATGTCTTTCAAGTTTTTTTAGTTGATACGGATGCACAAACACAATACCCTTAGTAGACCATTGAAAAACAGAATACCTTTCAACAAGATAACTTTTTTCTATCAAATAAGATATGGATTCTGATATATCTAACTTTAAATTTGAATTTCTAATAAGGTGAGCTTCCATTGGCCCACGAACTTTGTATTTAATGTTCATTACTTCTTTGCATGTCAGCTTACATACACTCGAACCGAGGCCTAATTTATTTGCTGCGTATTCTTTAACTGCTAATATGATTGCAGGAGGAGGATAGTTTTTGACTGCTTCATTTTTAACTAAATCTCGTATAACTTTTGACCTCTTTATCCTATCGCTCTCTGATAAAGAGTACATGTGGTCGGGAGAGTTATTATATCATTTAATCTGGACTATATTTGAAGCAACTAACCAAGAAACTTCAATTTTTGCATAACACAAGCCAGATGGCCGTATCTTCGTTACTCTACGTTTTTTATTTGGAATATTTTCTTTTTCTCAGGAACTTGATTCACGATACTTAGTAAAGTGGCAGGTAAAAACCTTTCAAATATCGCTGTTTACTTGTTTGTAAGAACCCTATTGTGTCCAAATATTAGAGACTACTGACCACCAGTTGTTATTAAAGTCTTCACTTTGTATTTCTAAAAGACTATTTACATCAAAAAGATAATTGTGTTTTTTATCCGGTGTGAGCGATGTTGACGTTAAAACCAAAGGAGTGATAGCACAAGGCATGGGCGTGGTGATAAATATAGCACCAGAGAGAGCTACAGACGCAGCATCTAAAGAGACAAAAGACGTGACACCCAAGGGAGCAGAAGGCGCAACACCAGAAGGAGTAGCTAACATGACGCCCAAGGAAGAAGCAGACATAACCGAAAGATAAAATTTATGTAAGTTTTTTTTTTTTTGTTTTTTTTCTGTTCCCTTTTTTCTCCTTGTAAGTTTCTTAGTACACCAATAAAAAAAGTAAATATTAATACTATTAAACATTATAAAAAGCAAAAACTAGGAATAAAATTTCACATACGAAGTTTGTAGACCTCCAAAGTTATATTATTTACAAAACCTGGTAAATTATGTAGAAAAACAATCTAAGCTACAGTATTTAGTGATTAAAAAGAAAAAAAAAATTTTCAAAAAAAAAAAAAAAAAATCAAAGTCGGGTCACCGGAACTGGTCCAAATGTCAACTTATTAGTTTATTACAAGAAAAGAAAAAAAAACCTACAATAAAAAACGCTTATAAATATTTCATTATAAAAAAAAAAAAAAGAAAAATCGTGCCTTATACAAAGATCAAAAAAATTTTTTTTTACGATAATAAATCAAATGCGTAATGATGCAACGATAACATCTTAAGTCTAGTATTACCCTTAGCCAATCATAATTTTTGCAATAATTGGCCAATCACAATTATAGCATATGTTACATGATTTATCTCTGCTTTAGACGTTCCCCTTTTTTGCAAATCTCATTTTTATTCCACCTTTTTTTTTTAACTTTTTAACTTTTTTATTTTTTTACATATTCAATAGTCGTCGTTTTTTATTGGAGTATTCAACGGTACGGTTTTTCTCAAGCTCTGCGAGGATAAATTGAGCAAAAAGCTACTTGATGAAATAGTAATTGGCGCCGTAATCATGTGATGCTAATTGTCACGTGGTAAAATATATAAAAATCAACAATCTAATTGTTAATTTTTATATATTGTATCATGTGACAATTAGCATCACATGATTATGACGCCAATCACTAGTTAACGTAGATACATATCTAGTATTTTAAAGGTACACAACCTCTTGCTGCGAATTTACAAATATTAATCATCTTAATTCACTTGATGATATTTGCTTAATAAATAAGCAACGTATTGTATCATCTATTATTTTAATATACCGATATGGATTTGCAACTTTGAATATAAAACTTAATGTAGAAATTAAAATGATAACTACCAATTATATTTATTTAATTGATAATCCATTTGACACCTGGGAGGATCTACAAAATTTTATAAATAAAGTTTACTATTGACCCAAATGTGGCAGTGCTATATTTAAAACTTTTTTTTAATAAGACAATCAATCTTGTCAATTAATTAAAAGTTGTAAAGTTCATCAAGATACATTTAATAGTGTAAGAGCGTCAAAATTGGCCTAGTAGTTTTTGAGATATCTTTAAAAAACTTCTTGTGCACATATAAAATTGCTTTAAAAAATGAAGACTTTTTTTAAAAGAATTTTATATATCACCAAGCCAATTTTGATGCTTTTATACTATTAGATACATCTTGATGAGCTCTACAACTTTCAATTAATTAACAAGATTTAATTGTCTTAGTAAAAAAAAAAGTTTTAGATATAGCACCACTACATTTGGATCAATAGTAAACTTTACTTAAAAATTTTGCAGATCCCCTCCAGATAACAAATGAATTATCAATTAAATAGTTTATTACATTTGTACCTAGTTTCAAAAAAAAGATTTTATTAATTTTACAGAATAAAACAACATTATTCAATTTTATTAAAACTTGCGATATTAATCTTCTTATATTTAGATAGTGCCAAAACTTCTTCAAATCGCCAAAAATACAATATTCTATTTTTCATCTCTAATATTTCTAAGATAGCAGATTTTTACACACTATTCTTTAAGGTTTTTTAAAAAAAGTTGATATATATTAATGGTTTTTCTTTTCAACTAGCTGGCAAGAAAATGCGCCAAGTCTCTATTGTGAATGAATATCCATAAATTCTGAAATGTGATAGATTAGAACATGCATGTAAAGAGTTATGTCACTCAGTGTATACAATCTCTTGTCTATTGTATTAGTACCAGGGATAATTTGCGAAAGTGTTAAAAATATGCTTAACCATTCATGAGCTTTGATATAGAATGTATTCCCTGTTAATTTATTCTGAATTAGCATTTTATAAAGTTTAAAAATCCTGATCAGAGTTTTCGAACTTTTGTAGCATGTGCTTATGGTAACACATATTGGCGGATTTTTGGAATTTACTATTGAAAACTCCAAAAATATTTAACAGTGGATAACTTTTGATGCACTAATCCGTTTTCGACAAAACAATTACCAAAATTTTCGTCTCCGTGAGACGCTTCTAATGGATACAAAATTGGCAAAATCCAATTACAAGATCCCGATATCTTTGATGATTTGTTTCACTTCGGGTGTTTTAGAATTGGTTTAACCAATCCTAAAACACCTGAAGCGACACAAATCTCTACCGATCTCGGGTTCTGTAGTCGATTTTGTGTCCATTAGAATCGTCTCAATGAGACGAACATTTTGGTAATTGTTTCATCGAAAAAGGACCAGTGGATCAAAAGTTATTCACTGTTAAATATTTTTGGAGTTTTCAATAGTAAATTCCAAAAATCCGCCGATATGATTATACTTAGATTGAAGTTTTTTATTATTTTTAATTTGTCTGGGCCCATTAAAGAGATAAATTTCCATTTTTTTGTGTTATGATCTTTCCAAAATTTAAATTTTACATTGATAGCCTTTATTTCTTCACAAATTAACTCTCTTATTTTATCTACAAAATAGCCATTTATTGAGAGCCAACTCTCACAAACGATCAGTTATATATAGCATCAGATGAAGTTGATTCACTATATAATGAGTCATTAGAATTATATCCAAGATAGATAAATAAATATAACCCAGAAACTTTTGATAATTTTTTTTAATTTGGTCAATATTTTTTGTTATTAACCAATTTTGGTTTAAGTCGCTTATTAAATCTTTGGTATAGGGATACCATAGGCAAAAATTAAATACATTAGACATATTAAAACCTAACATTATTGCCAAAAATTTCCAATCAGATGAAAAAAAGACTTCAATATCCCATTGTAGATAATTAGTATTAATAAATTTATTTTTGTACAATTTTTGTAATTTATAACAAATTGGCTTTAAAGCGGTTTTGAGAAAGTTATAATTTTTGGTTCCAGAAAATAAAGAGATTGTATAATGCCTTTCTGGTTTTATTAGATCTTTTTGGTCATTAAGAATTGCTAGCATTACCATCATATGTTTTATTTTTTTCTAACGTTTCTTCTGTCACCTAAGATTCTTAAATAGATTATAGGAGCTTCATAGCTAAAAACCTTATTTGTTACAAGTTTTAGAACAATAAACCAAAGAATTGCAAATATATTGCGATAAGCACCTTTTTCTAATATAGTTGCAATTACTTCACTATCCAAGTCACTTTCACTATCCGACTTACTTTCACTATTCAGATCACTTTCACTATCCGAATCACTAATTGTTTGTGTATTCATATTAAATACTAACAATGAAATGTGGTTTTTCATTATTTTATTTACATTGTTCTTTTCTTTACTAACAAGCTATTCTTTTGGCAAATCTTGCAAAGTAGTTGTCAAAGCTCTATATTCTCTTCTTGAAATATTAAATTGATCTATCACTTGAATAACATTTTGTGCTTTTTTCTCTTCTAATTGTCAATCTTCTTCAAATCTTATTATCCATGGTTGTTTGCCTGCTTCTAATACTAATTCTTTGAGTTTAGGATTATCTACGGGATGTCAAATTTTTTTTTCAAAATTGTTCAATAAACTTTTACCTGCTTTTTTTATTTTTTTCTATATAAAAAGTTACTAAGATTACTAAGAGGTTTAATACATTGTGGTTGATATTTCTTTGGCACAGTTTTAGCTAATTCTTTATACAATTGTAGCCCAAAAACAAGTATTCTAGAAATTGCTATTTTTCTTTCTGAATATCATACATTACAATACTTATTAGATGTATTCGAAGGTAAGATTTGTAAAACTACTATATAATTTTGTTGATTATACATCATTCAATCTTAAAATATAAAATCTCTTCAACATAATTAATAGATACTTGAACATGATTTTTTTATTGATGCCTCCAAAAGGCTTCTATTTGATAATTGTTAGAAATAGAATATTGTCCTGGACATTGTGTATATTTAAGGTTTGGCTTCAGAAAAAGTAAACCTAAATATATAATCGTATAATTGTAATTTCTATTTTGCTTTTCCAGAAAACTAAGTTATCATGTGGATAATTATGATTTATTGTCCCTTCAAGCGTTTTTCTTGTTTTGTTATTTAACATTCTAACATTTTTAATTAAAAACTTGTAAAAACTTGTATACTTGATATAAATTAAAAATTTTATATTTGTTACACATTTTTGTATAATAATGAATTTTTATAAAATCTGAAAATCATAACGGTAATGGCAGTTAAACTTAATTCTAAGAAATGGTGATATGCCTTATATATTATTTTCTTCGCTTTCTAGTTTGAATTTATTTTAATATGTAATATTTACTTATTTAGAACTTAAAACCCGGCAGCCTAAATTTTATATTTAAAAATCATGGTCTTTTTTTACTTTTGCAAAAAAAGAAAGAAAATAAAAAATATCCAGTTAGCATAAAAAATTTTTTCAAAAGTTTACAAGAAAAAATTAATTTTTTATAACTCAAATATAACTCAATCTCATAATACTGATTGCACTATAATTACATGTGTATTTTATAATATATATTAGTGCTGCCAATATCATTGGACTTTTAATTATATCTTATACTGAGAGAAATCTGTTTAATTTATTAAAAATTGTATTCAGTACAAAATATAATTAAAAGCCCGATGGCAGGTTTCTCTTGATAGCACTCAATATGCGTATCAAAAGCTGGTGTGTAATTTTAATTCTGATAAGTAGATTTTATAAGCTCATAAAAGACCTAAAAGCTAACTCCACTTTTTATGATTTTTTTCTAACAGAAATATTATATTTCAAGTTATCATCTTATATTATTTCTTGCGGTTAAACAAC